CAGCTCTCTCCTCCCTCTCCTGGGATGCCTGGTGGCTTGGCCACTGTACGCACACTCTGCAGACACGTGGGAAGGGGCCTCAGGGGGTTTTGCACCCTCCTGCTGGCCCCGGAGAGTCCCTGGGTGGAGGAACAGGAAACAGCATTAGTAGGTAGGGAGCCAGCTTGGTGATTTCTTTGGAGGCTTGTTAAGAATCTCTGAGGCCAAACGTTGCTTGTTGTTATTATTTTTGTTATTAAAAATAAGGGCGAGCCAGTCCCCAAGTCAGATTGAGCATGGATGGTAGAAAATTAACCTAGAGATTAGCAAACCTGCTTGTCAAGTACTTTTAATTTGTAAAATGGTTTCATGCCCGTAAGCCACTAAACCCTGTGTGTGGTGGGGAGTGGGGGGCCATTGCCCTCTCCACGCGAACATCAGGGAGATGGGTGTCCTAACACATAAGGAGTGCTCTAAGCAGGAGCACCTTCGGAAGCGATGCACCACCTCTCACTGGGGGTAGTGAAAACCAGATCGAATGACCAACTGCAGAGGATGCAGAAGGAGAGGCTGGAGAAGATGATGCAGAGTAAGTGGTCCTTACATTTTGGGGGTCACAGCCCTTCCGAGTGTGGGATGAAAGCTTCGGGCCCTCAGAAAAGGGAAGGCTCTGCCGCATGGCATTGTGCCCTGAGTTCTCTCAGTGACTTCCTGTATCTCTCACCCCCACGGAGCCCAGGTGAAGGGCTGGCACAGGTGACCTCTGCCATGCTCTGCCATGAAGTGGCTTCTCCTGAATCCCAGGTCAGCTGTCATCGACAGCTGGTGACAGACCTGGACCCAGAGTCCCGCCAGCCAGGCCTCTTGTATGGATCTCGCTTCCACGTGCCCCTGCAATGGCTTCTGCTTCCCTTGAGCACAAATTGCAAATGGGCTTGTAGCCAGCCTTCCAGTGGGTCTGCCCCCAGCAAGCTCTGGCCTGTGTACAGGTCAGACCCTTAGACTATGAGGAGCAGGAGGACGCACGCCTTTGGTCTTCTCCCTGATGAGGTGCCTCCTCTGTCAGGCCCATGACCATGGCCATGGCCATCTCCTTCTCCCTGGACGGAAAAGTAGTTTTTCCAGCCTGCAGTCTCTGGCTGGTCTTCATACCCACCCAAGCAGTTTTGAGGTTACAAAGTGGTGTCCCTTGGTGTGAACACAGCCCAAAGATAGGTCTTGTTTGGTCTGTAGCATGTGCTATAATTTTTTTGGAACGTATTGCCAAGATTTAAAGATGAGGGACTCATGTGCACGTTTGGGTCTCTGATTTTCCTTGGGAAATGGGATTATCGGAAGCTTAGCAGTGACCGTGCCCTCCAGGGCTCCCTCTGTCCCCTCTGGTTCACCTCCGTCAGCTAGGCCGCCTTCCTGGCCCCGGAGGCATTTCAGCTTTTGGCTCCTGATCTGTGGTACACACCCTCACACCTGCCTGCCTTTCCCCTGCCTCACCCACTCTGTCTACCTAACCTTCTCGCTCCCTCACTATTTGCTTAACACATTCCACTTTGTTGCACAAAGGGATTGAAGCAATTATATGAAATAAATATAATACAATAATAAGAGGTAAAGTAATAAGAAAAACAGCCTCAGAAAATGTGGATTCGATTAGGAGGTCAAGACCACAGGGACCAAGAGAACACAGAAATTCAGGTCATTTGTCCTACGCAGTTACTACACTTGAGCCACAAATTGGCGCTGAGCTCTTATATATATTTTATTGCCCAGGAGAGGAAAACATATCCGATGCTTCGGGGAGCAGAGCTTTCCTCATAAGTTGTCTCTAAAAGGACGTTTCCAACGGTTTCCGTGCAGGTGGGGTGTGTGAACATGGGGCACAGAAAGTTGGTGAGCGAGATGACTTCTCAGAAAACCTGAATACTCAGTTGAATAGCTCTTCCTTTGACATTAATGTGACCAAGGAGTCAAGTTAGTTTAAGCTTTTTTACCTCTCTGATACTGGTAATACCACCAGGCGATGTCTAGGAAAAAGTAAGAAAACATTTTACCAAAT